TTCCCCCCCCCCCCCCCCAGAGCTAATACATTTAACAACAGACATTTATATAAGAACAGCAGGGAACAAAAAAAACAGTAAAAGTGAACTTTTTATTTTCTAAGTCTTCATATTGGGGTGATGTTTTAAGTCTTCCATGTGATTTTAAGAAAACCAGATGAAAAAAATTGACTTTAAAAAACAGAAGAATATAACTTAGTCTACTGACCCCTCATTAAAATTACCTATATCTCCTCACTATATAGGAAAAATAAAAGGCTCTTAAAAATTTAATTACATATAAACATCTACAAGTAGAAGTTGTTTTTACCATAAAAGCAACCTCCATAAAATATACAAAAGTTAAAAGGCAAAAGCATACCCGTCCACTTTTCCTTCTGCACTGTTTACTAAGTTCGCCAATTTCTTTTGTACATCATCCAGCATTGCTTGTCGGAGCTCATCTGTTTCAAAATATGTGAGTGAAGATAGCCTTTAACTGATTAAAACAGTCTGGATGAACATATAATGAGATTTATGAGATCTTTTCTATGAACTTTGAATATATGCACTTCTAATTGGTAATATTCAATTATTTCCATCTCTTCTTTGGAACAGGGCACTAGGCTCTCTGATATAGAAATCATCTAGAAGCAAGAGTATGCATTAATTCACATGGTTTACCCCAATAAAGTAATCAATTCTTTAATAAAAAATTTAAAAACCAAAACAGGTTTTCATCCTCTTTAGTAACTTAGTAGCAAAGAAAAGATTTTCACCACTGCTTCCATGCAAGACACATTTCCAGAGCCACTTATTTAATGGTAGGAAATGGAAAAGACAATTTTAGATATTCCTTTTTCTATTTTCCTGGCTTGGACTCAGTTTTTGGTGAGCTAAGAGGAATGTCTAACACAACTAAGACCATGGTTCAGGATGCAGCTGATAGGGCAAAGTATTCTGGAGTAAGGAAATTGCAAAATACAATTCAGATCACTGATTCTAAAATACTAATCAAGTTACTATAGCTTATGACTGATTCAGAAAGATGCTTGAGCTATTTTATTTTAAAATTCTCATTTAAAAAGGAAGCAAAATTTGTGAAATCTTGGTAGAATAGCTGGAATTGGAGCAGCATTAAAAGCACAGTCTAGAATTAAAGCAAGAGATGCCTTGTTCATAAATTCAACCATACCTCAGGGCCAAGGATTCCTGGACTAAGGAACACTCAATCAAAGATGGAGTTTACACCTTATCTCAGAAATAGACAGTTTGAGCTGAAAGAGATGCTTACTAATTTTAAGCTAGATTACAAATTTTTATTCTGAAAGAAATAAGGAGGAGATCATTTTGTAAGAGTTCTACTTTTCAAATCAGAAACATTCACATCCAAACACTAGACTTTGACCTCTTTTCACAAACCTACTCTTTATTTAATGCTGCATTTTCCTAGCAGTAGCTGGATGCAAGTTCCTTTATCAGATATGTGGCTGAGAACACTTTTATTCCCCATTCTGTGAGCTGTCATTTCACTTTTTTCACGGTATCTTTTGAAGGACCAAAGTTTTTGATTTTGATGAAGTCCAATTTATTTTTTCCTTTGTTGCTTGTGTTTTTGGTGTCATATCTAAGAAACTATTACCCTAATCAACATCGCAAGGATTTACTCCTATGTTTTCTTCCAAGAGTTTTACAGTTTTAACTCTAAAATTTAGTTCTATGGCCCAATTTGAGTTCGTTTTTATGCGTGGTGTGAGGTAGGGTTCCAACTTCATTCTTTTGCTTGTGGATGTCTGGTTGTTCCAGCACTATATCATGGAAAATTATTCATTTGGTACCCTTGTCAAAAATCAATTGAACATTAATGTATGATATATTTCTGGACTCTCAATTCCCTCTGCAAATGTTTTTTATTGTGCCTGGAAAGCTCTTTTCCATCAATATTGCCTATTAACTCTTAACTCACCCTTCATGTCTCAGTTACCAACTCACTTCCTCACAAAAGTTTTCTCTGAGCCTTCCGGATTAGGCCAGGTCTGTCTGCTTTATGTTTTCATTCTGTCCTGTACAATGCTTCCATACAATGCCTAAAATTCTGACTTAGAGTACTAAATGCATATATAAAGTATCTAGTTTAACTGTTTTCAATGGCTTGTGGTATTTCTAAATAGCAAAAATCTAAATTGTAAAATGTCATTCATATAATAGGCTAACTTTACCAAAATAGAGATGGTTGCCATAACCATATTATAAAAGCAAGTTTAGTGTTTGGAAAATCTACTACAAACTTTTCCTTTCCTGTCTTTCCAGTAAGGAATTTAAACTTGGATGAGAGAGAGAGAGAGAGAGAGAGAGAGAGAGAATATGAACAGGACTATTGTTAAACTCTGGGTTAGTAAAACATTTTAGATTCTTAAGGTGCACAAGTATATTGTGAGTTATGAGCACATGGTGCTATTTAGGCCTTTTCTAGCACTACGTTCTTAATGTAAAAGAACTCTTGACTACTCAGAGGAAGAACAGCAAATACCTTAATATTGGCACTGTTCTTACTTAACCATCTCACTCACAAGCCAAAGTAGGAGCCAGAGTAAAGAGGGGCATTGTCTTCCCTTCCATCCTCACCATGCCAGGAGGTTATAGAAAGGTAGCAGAGAAACAGAGGTCAAACTTTCTTACCCACCCCTTCCCTTTTTCTGAGATTTCCCTTCTCCTATCTATTTTCCTCTAAATTGATAATTGTTACACTGATTAAATGTCAAAATGATAATTTGGATATATTGGTTTATATAAAATATATTTAAAAATTAATTTCACATATCTTTTCACTGTTTTTTAATGTGGCCACTAAAAAATTTAAAGCTGCATGTGGCTCACAGTATTTCTTTTGGACTGTACAGTCTAAAATATAACCAGGATATAACACTACACTATACTGTCTCTTATTTTAAAAAGAAAAAACTGAATGATAAATAGACCTGAGGCCGTGGGTTCAGATCCTATATAGGGATGGCCTGTGTGCTCACTGGCTGAGCGTGGTGTGGGTGACACCAAGCCAAGGGTTACAATCCCCTTACTGGTCACAAAAAAGAAATTGTTTCTCCTGGCAAATATTTTTACTGTCTGGCGAAGTTTTGTGTTAAAAATAAAGTACAGTACTACAACATCAATCAACATTTAAAGGACTTAATGATCTATGAAAGAAAATATACAGTGATTCTTTTGAAAAAAAGCAAGACAATCAAATTTTTGTTTATATTATCAAATCAAGAGTGGAGCTTTGAGAAAATAAAATCACATTTGTGTTTAGAGATATAAGAGCAATATTAAGCACTTATGTAATTTGAGAAAACAGACTGGTAGGGAGAGCTGTAAATGGCAAGAATAACTTAAAGACATAATAGAACCAACTGTTTCTTTACTACCCTTCCTGTCTGTGGAACACTGGCCTCTTACCTACCCTTCCAAATACAAGCTGTACAAGCTTAATCAACATAGCTTTTTCTATAACTAATATCAATTCAACAAAATGAGCCCAAAGTTCCTATACATTTACAAGGAATATTAATTGTAATTTTTAATATGAATAGGAACCTAGGCCACCTAAGCCTTACCAAATATAATCAAAAAAATCTGAAAATATTTTACTACTAAGGGTTTAAATGGGTGCTTAAACAAATACTAAATACTGCAAGGACTCTCATAATATTTATCAACTACAATAAGTCACAGAATTTTTTATCATCTACTGGCAACGTCTCAGGGAAGTGTCTAAAGAGGTGGCCTTAGATATTATAGAAACATGAAATACAGAATTGAGTTGTCACAGACCAATGAGTTGGTTCCAAACACTGCCTTTTCACCTCCACTAGTCAAGCCCAATTCTACAATACCAATTCTTCAGGTAACTATTTAGCTGCCCAGTGTGTCTCCTCTGGGTGGCCCATTTGCCTTCCAGATAATGCTGTAGTTGCATTGGCCTTCAATCTAACTAGATTGTTTTCCCAATAAATACTTGTATGAAATGATTGTCTTGGGAAAGGCAGTCATTTCAACATTTAGGGCACAATGCAGAGGATACTACCATAACCTCAAGGGAGATGGAGACACATAGAACAAAATATAAGTCAGACTATAAATAACCATTTTCCTGACAGGAATACAGTAACATGGAAAGATCATGAACTTTGGTCATGGGCAGAAAGATCGGAGTTTCTATAACTTATAAAATGGAGTTAATACCACCTACTGTAGAGTTGCTTATGAAAATAAATAAAATAAGAAGACTAAATAATACAATATATGTTATATCAAGTGTCCATAATAGATATTCCATATATAATTATTTCCTTGTTGCCTATTTTCCGGCCCTCTACTAGATTTAGAGTTCTTCCAGGCTGGCCAAGTCAATTAAAAGTAGAGGACTTTCAGTTGGGCAGTTCTTTGCCTCAGAATCAAGTTTACTTTGAGAACGACTATCTCACATCTATCTTATCATTTTTTGTGTTCCTAAAAATCTCCCATCTACTGTCTCCTGTTGGATTTAGGCCAACTTACTTTGGCTTGTCCTTTAGTATCCATGCTTCAGTGGTTCTTGCCTGCTTGCCTCCTTAGTGTCTAAACCAATGTTTCTGTTGTTTGACAGCATCTCTGCTGTACCATGTCCTATTTTTGCCTATTTCTTATTTCTATTTTATGTTAGGTGGTATGTAATTCCCTAATTACGTGCCTTGTTACTGCTGTGTCTAACCTAGACACTTAAAACTGATGCATTTCTAGACTCCACTACCACCCTTCTGATAACCTTGAATCGTTACCTACTAAATGCAACCCTAGAATAGCTTCAACTTCCTGGTTACCCCAAAATCAGAGATTAAATGAGGAAATACCATCTTTGTCAGCTATTAGATTCATCAAAGCACTATCAACCACCTGATTATCTGAGGCCCAAATGATAATCCTAACCACAGGACTCACCTTAGGGAATTGACAGGGATTATGAGCTACCTTACAAGCCTCAACAAATAAGGGCTAACCACTTATCTCAGTTGGTTAGAGCACAGTGTTATAACATCAAGGTAAAGGGTTCGGAAAAAAAAAAAACACGATAAATGGCTGTGTGTAAAGCACTAACTACAGTCATAAAAATCTAGTTATACTCAGACATTTATTCCATAAAAAGCTACTCTTTTACTTGAAAATATTGCCCTAACATATCAGACAGCTTTAGGGTAGCATGCATATGAATTGATCAGGGAGAAGTCAGAACCATAAATAATCAATCAGTCGGGCCGGCATTGATCAGGGAGAAGTATGCATATGAATTGATCAGGGAGAAGTAAGAACCATAAAAAGTCAATCAGTCAAATTAACCCCCTTGGACTGCCCAGGGGCCCGAGGCATGAAGCCGGGGACTGGACCACCCCTCACAACCAGGTACACTGCCAGCACCTCGGGGCCCACTTGGGGGCCCGAGGCACGGAGCCAGAGACCAGAACCATCCTAGCACAACCAGGCACAGCACCAGGCCAAGGAGCATGCCCAAAACATCTCCTCCATTTGGGTGGCCCACCACAGCTACCACAGTAACCACAGTTGCCATGAAAGTGGCTAGACATTACAACCACTATGCAGGTGGTCCACCAGCCACTGGAGTGCATTGACACAAGGAGAGTCACCAGCAGAGACCAAAAAAAAGAGGATGTCTCTCTCCACAAATCCCATTCCAGAGTGACAGAAGAAGTATCTGCTCTATGATAATATTGGGGGAACTGAAGACACCTGTCAGCATTAGACAGATCATCTAGGCAGCAAGTCAACAGAGTAACCATTACCCTTTCAGAGAGAGGGAAGAAATCTAGGTTTATAAGTGGTGGGAGAGTGGAGGGAGAGGGGGATAGGGAAAGATTGGACAAGAAGCATAAAAAATAAGTACACTTTGTAACAATATATATACTAGTAATATTGATTTAATAAACATGTGTCAACACTGAACCCCCAAAATATGTATAATCAATTATGATCCAATTAAAAAAAGAGGAAAAAAAATCAACCTGCTTCTTTGGTGACCACCCTGTTGGTGGTCAACAGGGTGACAACCAACACAACAGCATTGCCTCAACATCCAGGAAAACTAACTGCACAGCTAGGGCCAACGTAATGACTCTGGTTTCACCAGGATCATACTTAAGTTGAAGCTAACCAGTCATGGGAGATAGAAAGTTGGTCTCATTCAACTGTGCCAGTGCATGGTCAAAGACCACATCTGATTGGTATTATAGGGTGGGGGAAGGAAAAGAAAAAACCTACTCTGTTTTTTAAGTTCTTCAATTTGTTCTTCCTTTAGGTCTAACTGTTCTGTAAGTCTTGACTCTGAATCCAACACAGCATTTGTTTCATCCAAATGTTCCTAAAGGAAAAAGGTTATTAAAAAGCAGTATGCAAAAACAGTTTCACAAACTATAGAGCTGAGAGACATCTTAAAGTCAACCCTTTACATTTTAGCTGATGAAATTGCACCGCTGTGACCTTGGGCAAGTTTATGCAACTACTAAGTACAAAAGATAGACCCCACACTCTTTCACAATAAAACATTGCCTCTTTCAGAGGAACTAAATAAAAAGAGAGAATGCCATTAAAAGACAACATGATGACAGAAATAAAAAAAGTGACAATAAGAAATAAAACTTCAAAGAATGGACACAAAAAGGCAAGAAATATAGCAACACAAAAATGCTCTTTCTCTTTTTAATTTTTGCGAGTTTAATAAAGTGATATTACACTGTGATTTTATTACTTTAAATTTTATTTCCCTATTACTGAATTTGAGCATTTTTTTTTCACATTTACAGGATAGTTGGGTCTGCTCTTCTGTGCAAACCTCTTTGCATACATTGCTCGTGTTTCTAATGAGCTGCCTCTTTCTTGTCAATTTGTAAGAGCACCTTGCATGGTAGATGTAAACCCTTTGTCAACTGTGCTACACAAATACCATTTACCACATATGCCATTGTAAGAGCACCAATTTGTAAGAGCAACTTGCATGGTAGATGTAAACCCTTTGTCAACTGTGCTACACAAATACCATTTACCACATATGCCATTTTTCTAATGACTCTATGTTATCTTTTACCATGTAAAATTTTAAGTTGTACATAGTCAAGCATGTCCTACTTTGCTTTTACAGCTTCTTGAGCTTTAGTCTTGGTTAGGATCCTCCTTGCCCCTAGACTGTACATGTAGTCTTCTAGGTTTTATTGCAAGATATTTTGGTTTTTATATTTAAATCTTTAACAGAGTGTTTCTCAATGGGAGTGCTTTTGACATTCCTGGCCCACTAAATACCGGGAGAGCCATCTAATCACTGTAACAACCAAAAATATCCCCAGGTATTCAGTACCATTCCCAGTAGAGAATCCTCATTCAAATACAACTGGAATTTATTTTTGTATATGGTGTGAGATGGGACTCAATTTTATTTTCTCTCATATGGACAGCCAGTTGTGCTAACTTAATTTATTAGACAATCTATCCTATTTCTCATTAAATTAAAATTAGTTTAGTTTAGGGTTTAGTTTTAAATTCTCAAGTATATTCTGCGGTCTATTTCTGAGCTCTGCTTCTGTTCCACTAATCTAGTCAATATTGTATTGACTTATGGCTCTATTTTAGTATCTAATAGGCCAGTCCCTCCTCACTGTTGTTCATTCTCATAATTTTCTTGGTTGTTTTCGAGTATTCATCCATGTAAGTTTCAGGTCAAGTGTTGTCATCTTCAATCATTGTGACAGCTTTTTTGGTGTGTCATCCTGAACAGGCTACAGTCCCCAGTTATTCAAACATAATCTAGACGTTGCTGTGAAGACATTTTGAAAATGCAAACAAAGCCCTTAATCAGCTGAATTGAAGGAAGGAACATTATACTGAATAATCTGGGTTGGCCTGATTAAACCAGTTCAAAGTCCTTAAAAGCAGGAATTAGGCTTCCCCCAAAAAAGAGAAAAATTCCTTCTGTGGACAGAAGCTTCCGCCTGTGCCTATGGAGTTCCATCCTGCTTGTGATTTTCCTTTCTTCACTGTCTATGGACAATAGCTTTGGCCAATGCCTGTGAGTTCCAGTCCACCTTTGATGTAGTCTTCCCATCTGCACTGCCAGCCTACAAATTTCAGACTTGCTTTGCCAGCCCCCACAATCGTGTATCCAATTCTTTATAATAAATTGTGTATGTGTGTAATCATACATATCATATATACAAATTTGTCTGTATATGCATATGTCACACACACATACACATCCTACCAGTTCTGCTTCTAGGGACTGAACCCTGCCAATACACAGGTGACTGAAACAAAAAATTCTAAATAAAAAATTTATTATTCAAAATCCACAAAACTAAACTTAATGTGAATGAAATTTAAATAAACTTCCAAATTACTTTTTTAACCTTGTAGCATTTATACTTACAAAATTATTAAAGCTTAAAACTACACTAAGATTTTTTTCCCTAAGACTTTTTCAAAAATCAGCATTTATACTTCATTTTTCTTTCTACCACTTGTTTGGTCTCTATTTCAATAATTTCAGATTTTATCTTTATTAGTTCTCTCTTAGTTACTTCTGATTTATTTTGTTCTTTTTCTAAATGCATATCACATTTTAAATTAAAAAGAAAAAAAATCCCTAGTTATAAAAGAAGATCTGAACTTCCATCCTAGCAGTTTGACAGATTAGATACTCTGGACTCACTGGAAATAACTAAGTGTTGGATAAAATATATCTTCTTAAATGTATTAATGAACTGACAAGAAAGTAAGCATAAATGATCAATAAAAATATTAAAAGATGCTCGATCTCATTAGTAACCAGGGAAATGCAAATTCAAACCACTAGAAGATAGTACTTCTGCTATTGTTTGAATGTGTCCCCTCAAAGTTCATGTGTTGGAAACTTGATACCTAATACAGTGGTTTTGGGAGGTGGGGCCTAATGGGAGATATTTGGTTCATGAGGGCACTGCCGTCATGAATGAATTAATGCCATTATTGTGGAATCAGGTTCCTTATCACGGGAGTGGATTCCTTATAAATATGAGTTTGGCCACCTCTTGCTCTTTCTCTTGCCTCTCTTTGCCCTCCCACCATGGGATGAGGTGGCAGGAAGGCCTTCATGAGATACCGGCCCCTCAAGCTTGGACTTCTCAGCCTCCAGAATTGTGAGCCAATAAATTCCTGTTCATTATAAATTACCCAGTTGGTGGTATTCTGTTATAGCAGCACAAAACAAAGACACCTTCCAAACTATCAGACTGGCAAAAACTGATGTCAGATAACACCAAATGTTTGCAAGGATGTAGAATAAGAACCCTTACACATTGCTGCTAGAAGTAAATTACCACAATTGCTTTAAAAAACAATTTGCCATCATCTAATAAAGCTGAGGCTGCCCGTATATGAGGGTACTTCGAAAAGCTTATGGAAAAGATTCATATTATCTTTTAATTCTATTTTTCCATGAACTTTTTGCACTACTCTTATAGGTCTGGTAACTCAGCAATTTCAATCAAGACACACACCTGAAAGAAACTCTTCTATGTGTGCACCAGTAGATATAAACAAGCAAGTACATAACCACATTGTTTGTATAGAACACATCTGAAATGTTCTTTATTAGTAAAATGGGTAAATAAATTATATATTCATGCAGTAAAAATAATGAACCATCTACACACAGTAACATAGCTGAACAAGCAAGGCTCAGAAGAATTATTTGATTTACATACAGATCAACTTTCATTTATAAGGACTTCAAAAATATGCAAAACCAAACAACATCATTTGGAGATGAAAACCTATGTGATAAAACCATAAACAAAAACAAGGGGGTTTTAAACACAAAATATTAGAATAGTAGTTATTGACAAGGTGGTAGGAAGGAGATGAGATGTGGAGGGGTGCATAAGGACTTCAGAGGATGACATTCTATTTCTTACATGGGGTGGTGAGTATGTGTCTATTTGCTGTATTGCTGCTATATTTTATACATATTACCTAATTTTCTTTTCGCAGCCACTTAATATTTAATAAAAGTCTTAAAACTTTGTAGGAAATATATCTACTCTTACTTGGGACATTAATGTTCCTGTATAGCATATTCACCACTAATGCCAGGTAAGGGTATTTCATTATTTTTCACTAGCTTTTGCTAAAATCTACTTATGACTTAGAAAAGTATCTCCTAAATCTAAAAGCAAGTCACTTTGGTGTTGTATTGTTTCTTAGTGATTCATTTTATTTATACCTCGTGATTTTTGTTTGTATGAAATATAGAATAATAAATAAAAAACATTTTAAAGGATGACCTACAAAAGAAAAAGATCTAATGGGATCATACACATTATTTTAATCTGTGTGAAATATAGTACCCAGTATATTTTGTTAAAAAGAGAAAATCGAAATATAGTACCCAGTATATTTTGTTAAAAAGAGAAAATTATAAAGTTAAAATCGTAGATTAATTTGGTTTTTTTCCCTACAGATCTCTAAAATACCCACGTGTGCTAAAAAATTAAAATATCCTATCTTCTCACCTTTGCTGTGTGTGTCTACCCTATACTATAAGTCAGTGACCCGAGGGTAATCCTGAATATATAGTTTACTGTTATGCTGCAGCAGAGGATCAGATACAGAGTAGCCACTTGAACATCATTTACTAAATGAATAGCTTTGAAGATTAGTTTCGAGACAAAGATTCTATAAAGTAATTATTTCATGAATAATAAAATTTACAAGAGAAAACTATTTTGACCTACCTGTAATGACACCACTTTTCCTTCCAGATTTTCTGCCTTTTCCTTCCACTCAGCCATAAGCTGTTTTTGCTTTTCTAGTTCAGTAGAATACATAGCTTTCTCCTCTGAAGACCAAGAAAGTTACATTAGTATTTTGCAATTGTGTGATAAAACTAGAATTTTAAACCACTTGAAATTTTAATAATTCAACAAAACTAGTTCAAATGTCTCAATGAGAAAATTATATATGCCTTAGTGATAATGTTAAGTAATGAGATCACTGTTTGCTCT